TTGCCATTTACATCCATGTTGAAAATCCTGCGCTGTCCATAAATATGAAGAATGTCTGAATTCATTAGCGGTATGATCTGTATTATTAGACTCTGAGTCTCGAATAGGCCCTGAGTCTCGCATAGTTACGGCAGCTTGTGCTGCTTCTGCTGCTGCAACTGGACAACATTCTATACAGCACTCCCCAGCAATAGCAGGTGTCATTTGCAAAACATTTGCTGACGTCGAAGTTTGTCTTACTGTACCGTACTCTCCAGCAATAGCCGGTGTCATTTGTAAAACATTTGCTGGCGTCAAAGATTGTCCTGTACAGCGTCCCTCAACGATAGCTGGTGCCAGTTGCAAAACATTTGCCGACGTCGAAGATTGTTGATCTTGGGTTGAAATATTTTGAGAATGAATATACTGATTATATGTAGGTGTATACATGGATGTCGAAAACATTTTGCCCTTGGCGTAAATGTAAATGGCAAAAATGGTTTTTGTTTAACAGTCGAAATCGTAAATAATTTAGTATGTAGAAAATATTTTCGTAAGCTGAAAATTTTTTAAGTATGATATGTTAAAAATTTTCTTCACTTCGGAAAATCTCGGAGATTTACACAATTTTTCCTCCAAGGGAGACCGTCCCAAATTAGGGGGAACGTTAAAGCCAGGTGCGTTAGAATTACTTTTTTGATGCAGTTAGGGTTACGTTTTTGATGCAGTAATGGTTAGTGGTTTATGTAAATATCAAGAAGATAATTTATGCAACATGTGGATCATTTCCAAGTTTATACCAAACGCACCTGGCTTTAACGGACCCCCAAATTAGGAAATGATTTCCTGTGTCACCCGATCGTTACACGATTGATAAACAATTTTTTTTTATACGTTTTACAATACACTTTTTTTCAAAAGCCCGACATATTGATAATTATAACGATAATTAATATCGTATTATATCGTGGTAATGTAGCGACAATTTATAAATTAATTAAAGTAGTATATTGAGATAACGTTGCGATAATGTCATAGTAAAATATTGAAATAATTTTTTAATACTAAGTACTATGCGACAAATTTGTAACTTTATTAATTTATTAAATAAAAAAAAATTACAATTTAAAAAATAATTGTTTTGCATTTTTTAATGAATTTTCTATTGACTCTACGCTATCCGCTGTTATTTCGGCATTATCCAAATCATTTCCAACTATTTCTTTAATATTTTCATCAACAAATTCATTATCGTTCAATTTTTTCTTCATACTTACCATTAATGCTTCAATGTTTTTTTTAATTTCATCATAAAGATAGCTTAGACATATCAAACATTTTGATTGACATTTTTCTAAGCAAGATTTATGATAACTATGCCCGCATAAAAGAACCTTGCCTTCAT